GGGATGGAGGGATGAGGGATGAGGGGAGGTGGGATGGAGGGATGAGGGATGAAAGGAGGTGGGATGGAGGGATGAGGGATGATGGGAGGTGGGATGAAGGGGTGGAGCGGTGAGGGATGAGGGGAGGTTGGATGGAGGGGTGAGGAACAGAACAATGTAAAGACAATGAACTAACTTGTCTTTGGGTGAGCTGATCACCATGATGAACGGATGAGGTGATGATGGAGTGAGATCCTGTCCAACATTAAAAACAGAAGCAGATCAAATTTAAAAGGAAATACAATCATCAATGAATCCATTAATAACAAAGATCTTAAGTTTTAAACGCAGAACTTTTATTTAAAATCATGAAACATTAAAATCACGTTGGACCAGTTTAGTTATTCATAGAATCACTTCCTGTTTTGTCATTTGTCTTAGTCAAAGTAAAAGCACAGTTTTCTTTTTGTTGCTGTAATGCTTTATACTGAGCAGAATTACAGAGCTTTTATTTTGAAAAGTTGTGAACTGGGTCTAACGATTGTGTCAGTTGTTCAACAGACTCTGAAAAAGTGTGATGTATGAAAAAAATCAGTTCGGTAAATCATTCAAACTTATATATAAACCACACGTGAACAGTAATCAAGAATTCATTCAGTTTCTCACGATGAAAACTATCTTCAGTGCAGATAAACCAGGTAGGATGAACTCAAACTTCACTCAGACTGTTTATAAAAAGCTCTGAACACAAACTATAAGAAGTGACTCAGTAATAATGAGGAATAATTCTGAATATCAACACAGGACAAGAGAACACAACATTACAAACACACATGTACTCTGGAATCTAACTCCTGGCAGTTTCAAACCCAGATGTTAAATGTTCCTGATCCCTCAGTCGGATGAGTGACCCTGAACGCATCATCTGCTGTCGCTGGGCAGACAAACTAAAAAACATTTATAGTGAGATGATTGGGATGTTTGTGTCGTCACTAGTTTTCTCGTCTGGAGGATGTGAAACTGTCTGAGCTGCTGAACTCAACTCATAACTCACCAACAGGACAAAGCTGTTGTTTTCAGCAGAGAGCCTTCACGGTGAAACAAACTAACGATTATAATAATGAAGACATAAATAGTTATCAGAGAACAAAATGAAAAATGAAGAAGAGAGCTGCAGATTCTTACCTTCAGTACTTGTGGAGGACGACGACAGGTTTGTCTTCCAGTGGTTGAGTCCAGTTTGGAACGTTTTATTCTCCCAGAGTCACTTTGCTGAGTCTTTTCTCAGGTATTCTTTCAGTTTGGTCTCTTTAATCAGGAACAGTTGTTTTATTCTCAGTGTCTCAGTGACAGTCCTGTTTGTCTTCAGACGGTTTCTGTCTCGAGCTGATTGTGAAATCGGTCACGTTTCAAACTCTTTCCTCCGCCAGAGATCTTCCTCCTACTCCGTGTCTTTGTGCAGTTTCAGCAGAATCACAGCTTCACTGACCTTTGACCTGTGATATCAGTTCAGTGGACTTTGTTTCTGTGTTACTGTCGACAAAGTGATAACAGAGCTCAGCAACAGCAGTTTATATTAAGAGGTGGAACTGAAACAAGTCTGAAACTGTTTTTCACTTTCAAATGTTGTTGAGCAGATTTAAGAAATAAATCAATTGAGCTGCTTCACCTCTGACACGTTATTCTTAATGAAACCGTTTCAGACTCTGGACGACGTCTCCAGAACTGGGTCCAAACTTTCTCTTTTTCATTTTTCTCCTTTTCAATCCAGCACCATGAATTGTAAATGTTTCTGTGGATGAACTTAATGGCTCTAAATAATTCAGAAAATATTTTTCAACCGATTATGTTTTAATGTAAAAATATTCAGATTTTTACCTTTAAATACTTCTTGTTATATTATTTAGGATTGGGGGGGGGCAGCCAATCACAAACCAGTTTAGTCGACACTGCATTGTGTTTGACCTCATGGTGGAGCCAGAGGAAGAGTCAGAATCTGAATCCGTCTTCAGCCGTCTGGAGATTTTCACCTGAAATCTGAGACTGGACTTTGTGCAGTCACTTGATTTTCTTTGTTGAGTTATACCTGTGACCTCTGACCTGTGACCTCTGACCTGTCTGTGCAGAATCAGGTTAGTTCAACCAGAGCTGTGTCTCCACTCAGCTGCTGCATCCTTTGGACGAGGTGTCTCACCAGCAGGGAGGGGACTTCGTGGGCTGCGTAGACTACGATGGTCGAACACAAATGACTCACTCTGGTCTACAGAGGATTCCCGTGATCGCTGTCACCAGCTCGTCACACCCCTATTGCTGTTGCCCAGCAACAGAGCTGAAGTTTTAATCCACTTGATTTTTTAACATGGGCACCGTTAGCTGTTGGATGAGTTGAAGTGTGATATTCAAGCTTTGGACGTCTTGTCACTTGACGGCAACATTACCGCTCAGTCAATCAGTTGGAACTTTGGTGTCTCAGGGACGGGAGGACACAAAGGAGGAGCCTTTGAAATGTGACACAATCAGTGTTTAAATGCAGCCTCTGAAGGATGTGACCCCTGAACTGAGACACGGTGCAGGTGTAACGTGACGAACGAAGCTGCTGCACAGTCTCAGAAAAAGCAGGAACATGATCTGCTCCAACTTTTCATCCCTGATCAACTTGAGCAGCTGCTTCAGTGTTTTCATCAATAATTCAGAAACAAAATGATTCAGAATCGTCTGAAACGACTGTGGAGGCTCCGCTCTGCTGCACGACATCCGACCACACACACAAACATCTTCCTCTGCAGCACAAAGCCTCATCTGTCGCTAGCGTGAAATGAAATTGGACGTTTCTGCTTGTGGCCGGAGAACAGAACACAGCTTCTGTTTTCATCGTCGTGGGGATGTGTTATGGTGACACACATCAGCCAATCACAGTCCAGCCTGAGACTGCGTTAAAATTACATGTAGGAAAGTGAAAGTCTTTGTGGTGCGTTTCAGCTGTGAAGCCTGCGTGTATGATATCTGCAGCTTATCAGTCCTGAAGGTAGAGTCAGTGTGACTGGAGTCAGATCACACCGAACCACACTTTAACATCCAGGTGTGAAGGCACATTGTAATCTGATTACACCAGGCAACACACAGGAAATGAGTTAGAACCTCAGAGATGACTTCTCCATCTTAAAAAGAAAACTGTGCCAGAATATCAACATCTACTAAAGGCGGCCAGGACCTGTCCCCTCGATGGACAGCGTCCAGTGTGAGACAGAAGCGAGTCAGACTGTCTCCACTCAAATCCATTTTCTACAGTAAAGTCACAAGGTTTCTAAAACAAGTTCTGACATTCAGGCTCGTGTAATGAGGGAGCCACTGGGACCAGTACATGGCTGCACATGGTTACTGTAGTAACAGCAGGTTACAGCTTTAAATCATAAAATAATTACTACATTATCAAATTAAGATGGCTGACGTGTTTCCACGACCTCATACTATCGAGAAATGAAGCCAAAATATCTCCGATACGAACGCTGCCATGTGAAGGGTTTTCCTGGCTGGAGATTGTCGGGGTGGTACTGAGGCGTCGGGGGACAGACCGGGAGCCACGCACAGCTCCGCTGGCCGAGGCAGAGCTCAGTGTGAGGAGAACGACCTGAAATGACAGAAACCATCTTTTACAAACATTTATTTAAAGGTACAGTGTGTAGAATTTAGTGACATCTAGTGGTGAAGTGTCATGTTGCAGCTGAACACCCCTCCCCTCCCCCTCTCCTTCCAAACATGAAGAAGAACCTGTGGCAGCTTCAGTCGTCATAAAAACTCAAAAGATGTTTAGTTTGTTCAGTCTGGACTCATGTAAACAACATGGCGGCCTCCGTAGAGAGGGTCCCCTCGATGTAAATATAAAGTATTTGAATATAAAGTATTTGAATATAAAGTATTTAAATATAAAGGGTCTTTTCTGGGGTAAAGAAAACTACAGTTCATATAATTTAGATGAAAGTAGTGAAAACATCGTGAGGATTCTTCATCACTAGATTTCTGTCCACAGATCCTCTCACCTGAATCTGACGGAGCTTTAACGTCTACTTTGATTTTAAAAGATAAAACCAAACGAATTTGTTGAATGAAATCATAAAATATTTGACAGCAACAAAAAGAAAATATCGTGGAGCATAAGTGAACGTAGATTCAGATCTGATCTGTTGTTTCAGGAGAAGAATAGAATCAAACTCTGAGTGTTCTGCTCCGGAGTCACTGTTTGCTAACCGTTAGCTTTAGCTGCGGAGGCTAGCGGTTCGCTGAGTAGGGGGCGGGGCCTGGACGCTGTACTTAACACCGCGCGGCTCGTGTGACGTCAGAGCGGTCCGCCACCAGCAGCAGGTCGGGAAAGATGGCGGCGGAGGAGGAGACGAGGCTGAAGCAGCGGAATCACGAAAACAGCATCTTCACAGAGGGTGAGTGACCACGGAGGAGCGGCCGGGGGGCTCACTGACGCCGGGGCTCACTGACGCTGAGAGAGCGGGAGCACCGTGGATACGTGACCTCCACCGAGCGGACGTTTTTAAAACGACACCGCTCCGTCGAATGACCGCATCTGTGGTTTCTGCGTCCTCCCGGGGAAAGCACGTCTCCTCCCGGGGAAAGCACGTCTCCTCCCGGGGAAAGCACGTCTCCTCCCGGGGAAAGCACGTCTCCTCCCGGGGCAGCGACAGCTCAGCCCCGCGGCGTGTGACGTCCCGGAGCTGCAGCCACTGTTAGCTGGTAGCCGCTAGCCGAGCTGCTCACCTGAATGTGTATTTGTTGTCAGCGCTGTGCTAACAGCTGCTAGCATCTTCGAGCTAATTCTTTATTGTCCCGCTGTGTGGACCAGCTGAGAAACTGTCAGCAGCTAACTAGCATCAGTCATGATTAACAAGCTAGCTTCACTTCACTAACTCACAGGGGTCATTAGCTGCTTTAACCGGACACAGGCGATAAATGCTAGCTAGCTAATGTTTGCCTTATCTTATCCTCAGTACAACAGAGCTCCCTTCAGAAGATGATGAAGACATAACTCTTCATCACATTCCTCACCTCTCTACTTTTTAATCCACTTCACATTTGTATTGAAAGTCAAACCTCAGTGTTCAGGTTGTTGGCAGCAGCTGTTAGTTCACACTGGTCTCTTCAAACCCATGGAGTCAGCTCAGAGTCTTAGTTTTCTGTCACAGTGAATCATGCAGAGCTGATTGTTCCGCTGAGTGAAGCTGGTGCTCTTTAGGATTCAGAGAGACGGAGTTCTGACTGAGGTTTGTTTTGTCACTCGTCTTCTCACCCTGGTGGGTCGGAGCAGTGTTTTGGGGACAGACTCGTTCTCATGTGAATCTACCACAGTTGTTTGTGACTGCTATCTAAGGGTCTACCAGGCGATACTCAGGGTCGGAGTGCGTTCGACAGGGGCTCAGTCATAAAAACTGTTAAACTCAGGATAATGAAGCTGAATGTTTGAACTGGTGCTGCTGCAGAGACCTGACCTGTGGAGAACTGTTGCTCACTGTGCTAAGACCAAAGTGGGGCAAAAACTGAGGCATCAGTCGTCATGTGACGTGTGTGTGTGTGTGTGTGAGGTTATCCTCTTATTCCCAAGTCACATGTTCAGCTCTATTCTCAACATTGAATGAGGACGAATTGCTTCTAGACACTGACATTGACTGAGGCTTGTTCATCTGAGTGTTCTTCAAAGAAGCACATCAACATTTGTCTTGCAGATTTTGTAATTTGTCTATAATGTCTCTTTTTTTAATTCAAGGACACATGTTGCTTTTAGACATGAGCTGAAGTCCTGACATGTTCCTCACATGTTCTGCATGTGAGAACAAATGTCTCAGTCAGTGTCTATGCACATGTTCTGGATCGTCTCCTGCGGCCTCTAGTAAAACATCTGTAAAATGTCAGAGTGAGTCCACGAGAGAAAACAGCAGGAAAACATCTGCAACCTTCTCAGTGAGCGAGTGGACGTGTCTCTGAGGTTTCTAACACGTGACGGACGTGAAACTGAAGAACACAAATGTCTCAGGGTGAAGAAGAGGAGCTGTACACGTAGAAGAAGAAGACGTCCACTTGGAAAGACGAGGAGGTTCCAGATGTTTTGGTGATGAGGGCCGACGCCGTGTGGACGAGCTGTAAACAACAACTCTGATCTTTACACAGCAGAGTTTAGACGCCATGTCCCGCCTCCTGCTGCTCTACAGGTTCCTCTCCTCACCTGAATGTCCCCACATGTTCCTGTTGTTGTGAATGAGTCAACAATCTGCTACACACACTGACTACACACACTGACTACACAACATGTCTACACAACATGTCAGGACAATCTGCTGCTGCTTCACAGGACAAACACAAAGTCAGTTCTTGTCTGAAAACCGTTATTGCTCTTCTCCAAAATCCAGATTCACATTTTTAGTCTTGTGCTCTGTAAACTTTACAATCACATTAACTGGTCAAATTAAAAGTTGTGCTAAACGTTGACTTAAACAGCCTCAGTCAAGTGTTTTTTTGTTTTCTCAACACACTCTACTTTGTGTCTCCTGAATTCTAACACACGCGTCCTCAGGCCATGCATGTCACCAGTGCTGTGAACACGCTCGTCTGTTGTGAATACAGTCAGAGCAGACTGTTATTAAAGTGTCTGCGTGCCAGCAGCATACGTGGACTTTAGAGCAGATTCCTCTGCTGAGACCAGAGAGGAGAGCTTTGTTATAAGTTAACAGTTTGACGTGAGAGTACAGGAATCCATAGACCAGCTTGACCTGTTGGATAAGCAGGAAAATATGCTCGTTCACTGTCGTTGTGTTGATCAACTAAAAATGTAGGAAACTTAACTACGTCAACCTCATGATCCACTGTAGAGCCTTTCACAGACAGTATCAGTTCAACTTTTATTTTACAGAAGAAACGCTGCAGTAAAGAAGTGTATTGCTTAAATTTTACATAAAATATTCTTTCTCTGAATTTAAATTCTATATATTTGGCTTATCTGTGTTTTTGTTTTCTTTATAGTTGTTTACTATAGAAATGTATCGTTAGGGTTAGACAAAGAATCATGAAGGAAGCTGCTGCTGTTTCAACTGAGCATCTGGACACAGTTTGAGAAAAGGTCTGAGTTATGATACGTTCATCTGGTTGTGAAGTGTTGGTCATAGTGCACAACAACAACAACAACTGGGGAGAACTCTGTCTCTGCTCCAACAATTAAGGCTGAATAATCTACTGTCAATCAATTCTCTGCTCAATGTTTCCTGTGCACTTTCAACTGCCCTCTGAAATCTGATGCGTCACCATTTTTCCACCACGAGCCTCCGTGTGGATGAACCTCTCTTTTCTCGCCAGACGTGAACCGAGCAGCGAGTCTACATCACACAGCCGCACAACAGTGAAACTAATATTGTGTGTGTGTGTGTGAGAGAGAGTGTGATGTAAGTTAACAGTTTTCACAAAGATGTCACTGGCACCTGGATTGTTGCCACTGAAACACCAGGGAGCGTCAGGACGACAGTGAGTTCTCCTCTGTAGAACCTCTGAACTGTGACAGCAACACTTTTTACTTTTGGATACCTCCCTTCTGTGTCATTCATCGTGGACTTGGCCTCTGTCTTATCTACCGTCTGACTGTGGTAACGAAGGTCGAGCGAAACACACAGGGATCAATAAACACTGACAAATGCTCCCTGACGTCGTCCAGCCAGTGAAGTTTCACAGGAACTCAGCCGAGAGGAAACTTCAGGACAATCACTGCAGGTTTACAGTAAATAGACGGACCCTTGAGTCAGTGTTGATCCCCAGAGTCAGTTTAACCCATGGATTAATGAAGCTTTCTCCTTTTAAGGCAGAGGAGTCACTGATCTGCAGCTCTGTCACATTTGACTCAGTCACATTTGACTCTCTCTGGATGAATTTCTCTTCGTGAAGCGTCATCCAGGCGAGGATGTACATGGAGTGCAGGCGATGATGGTGATGATGATGATGTGCTTGAACTGCAGCGTTTCAGATGATCACTGATCCAGTTCATTCAGCCTCTCAGTGGTCACTCCGTCCTGGACATGAACTGCCCGAGGGGAAAATCACTCCTCCAGAACAAAGAGGGGAAACTGATCATCTTTTGTGTTTTCTTGATTATCTTAGTTAATTTACTATTAAGTGCCATCATTGCCAATGTTATTAATAAGTTAATTGTGCATATGAGCATCACTGTTGTCACTGAACTGATCAAACACAAGTTACATGTCGTCATTTGTTAAAGCACAGTGGACATATTGGCCCTGGGAGATCAAACCGTATCAATAATCATCAGTGTATATATATATTATACAAGTTGACATGTTTACTCATTGTGTAAACACAGTCAGGAGGTTTTGTTCAATGTGTTTACATAATATTTAATAATGTGTCAAACAAAGTAAACTTTAAGAACTGTTCAAATCTTAACCACTTCTGATGAGTGTCTGTCGTTAACGTGGGTGCAGGTCAGAGACTGAGGAGGGAGAACATGTTGCGGTACAAGGACACTATGCCTATAATGTGTGTCTGTCCTGATCGTGACGCAGCGTCCTGCCATTTAGTTGAGTGCATTACCCGACTTATATTGCAGGAAATACAGTTGTTATACCAGAAACCTCATGCAGCAGAACTGCGGCGCAGTCACAAGCCGCTCACACAGGCGCTGTGGCCCTGCTGTCATGAGGCAAGACAAACCAAGAGACTTGTTGCAAAACGAAAACGTGGGATAACCATCTTCTTTTTCATAATCGCTTGAAGCCGTAATTGATTTCCACTAATCGCCCAGCCCTCGGGCAGAGCTTTTTATAAACAGTCTGTGGTGCAGAGTGAAGTTAGAAAACTCTGTTTATCTGCACTGAAGCTGTTTATGTTTTTTTAGATCTTTTTGAATGTGTCCTAATCAAAACACCTCCATTTCAACACTGCACGTCCCTGAACACAAGTGTGAAGCTCATCAAATGAACCTTGAGATGTGCGTTCCACAGACGGTGACTTCTGGAATAAGTAGGCTTATCATGCCCAGGTCAAATGCAGCAATGTTTCTTTCCACCTCTTGGTGCTTGTTGCTGTGAACAGATGATCAAGAGGCTCCGGTCTGATCCCTTCTGATTGTTTGTGTCCTCGCTGTTGTCATTAAGATAAAATGTTATTGAGACCTCAGCTTTTATTCTCCTCAGGTGGCCACAGGTTCAAGTCGGACACGTCCCAGATGATGCCTGAGGCGGAAGACTACCTGTTGGAGGAGGAGGTGGGCATGGCCCAGCCTGTACAGATCGTGGTGGCTAACGAAGAGGAGCACTCGTTCACGCTGCAGGAGGAGGCGCTGGAGAGGCTGCTGCTGCAGGAGGAGGTGCAGGACCTCCAAGTGGTCGTCGTCTCTGTGGCTGGAGCATTCCGCAAGGGCAAGTCCTTCCTGCTGGACTTCATGCTGCGCTACATGTACAAACAGGTACTCAAGAAACTGGAGGAGACAGCAGAGCATGTCTCTGTTAACTTTAAAAATGTTTAAATTATCACTCCAGCAAAAACAGTGAATAAAGCAGCTTCATGTTAAACTCAGTGTGTCTCTGAGGAGACGAGCTGCCGCTAACGTTCGCTCAGCTCGTTTCTCTGAAAACTTCAGATCCACGACTCAAATCCTTCGTCTGCTTCAAACACAGAGTTCAAAACCACCAAGATCTAAAGTCTTGATTAAAACTTTGACTCAAACTGGATTAAAAAGTCACTTTTGAATCTTCTCACTGTCGAACACAACGCTGACACATGAACAAAGTGGGATTGACGCCACCAACAGGCGACCAAATGAAATGCATGCTTACTCTATTAGAACAACAGATTTCTGCAGTTTTTAAATAAAATGTTGCAGGGCTGGAAGTTCGGACAAGTTGTAAAAGAATGAATCTTTCTCAATCATAAAAGTCACTGGATCCAATTGTCCACCGTTTAATTTGAAGTCAGGGACACAGATATGGTTCCAGGTGACTTCCTGTCCGCTGCAGCAGAAACAAAAACCTTTTTCTGTTTGAGACGTTTACGAGGAGAGTTTGAAATCGCTGTGTTCTATGACTCAACCTTTGGTCCGTGTTAATCTGCAGAGGCTGCAGGGTTTCATCACACAGTAAAGAGGATTTTACTCCGGCACAATGTCTGCTCTGTGGCCAGGCCTCCATCCGCACGGCTCTGTGCTGCTTAGTCCACATATAAAGACCATCCTTATGTTTGAAATAACCACACACACACTTTCTATAATGGGACTCGACTGTGCAACAAGGATCCATTCATGTTGTGGCTGATTAACATACTTCATGTACGTGGTCTGTTAATAACCATCAGGGTCATTGACATGTTGAACTGTGAGAAGCTGTTTTTATACTGTTGAAGCTTTGTACAAGTTCTTCATCAGTGACAAATTACTTTGATCGGGTAGAAAGTAACATCGATCTAGAAAATATATTATTCCCGTAGATTAACGCTGTAATATGAAATAAGTTCTACCACAGGAAAGGTTCCCGTAAGATCTGGGATGTCATTGCAGATTTGCACCATGTGTGAACTATCCTCAATCTTTTGGAATAAAACGAATGATGCAGTTATTTGTCTCATTGAGCTCAAACTGATTTGAATCCAGTTGTGACTTTGTTACACATCTTTTCTTCCACCTGAAGAGTTTGTGGCCAGAATCAGTGTTTCATGATGTTAAACTGACTCAGGAACCGCGTCGTAAATCACCCTCCTCATCTTCCCCCAGTCCAGTTCCTGGGTGGGCAGCGAGGATGAACCTTTGACAGGCTTCACCTGGCGTGGCGGCTGTGAGAGGGAGACCACGGGCATCCTGGCCTGGAGCGAGGTGTTTGTGGTTGAGAAACCAGACGGCTGCCAGGTTGGTTCCCGAGCCGCCACTGTCATGTTCACGTCGTGCCACATGTTGAAATTAAATGACTGTGCGCTTTTGTTGTTGCAGGTTGCAGTTCTACTAATCGACACACAGGGGGCGTTTGACAGCCAATCAACCATTAAAGACTGTGCCACACTGTTCGCTCTGAGCACCATGACCAGCTCTGTCCAGGTCAGCTGTTGTTTCTAAAGACCCACATTATTCAGAACTGATTAAAACTGAGTCACGTTTGTCGTCATCACTACTCGGGCTGCGTCTACCTCTACTTTAAAGATATAGAGGCGCCTGAGCGATGGGTCAATGCTTGTTGTTTGTGTTTTAGGTGTACAACTTGTCCCAGAACGTCCAGGAAGACGACCTGCAGCACCTTCAGGTCAGTACCAGCCTGCAGGATGGTTGTACTTGATTCTAATGTACTGAAGGATCTCATCACACAAACTACCTGATATAAACCAGTGATATAACGTGTTGAAACAAAATCATCTGACTGTTGAACAACTCGTTGACTCGTTCACAGCAACAGGAACATGTGGGGCGAGGGGCGGAGCCTGTAGAGCAGCAGGAGGCGGGACATGACGTATAAACTGTGCTGTGGAAAGATCAGTGTTGTTGTTTCCAGCTTTTTGAGTTAAATATCAGAATTATCCTTTAATGAAGGACAAGTATCGTCACAACAACTAATTCAACGGTCTCCATGTGCTGAAAGTTTTGCAGCAGTTGATTTTAGTAAACCTGATGGCTGCTCCAGATACTTTGTCTCAAATACTTTTTCCTTCCAGTTGCAGTAACTCTGTCAGCTGAGTTTTAATCCGACAGATTTACTTCAGCCGTACTGCGAAAGTACTTTTTTTTTCTTTTTAAAGACACGACTGACGAGATCCGTGTCAGGATTAAACTGAACGCAGCCATATGAGGCAGAACACGGCTCACACAAAAACCTGGTGAAAATTCCTCGTCCATGTTTGGGCCCAGTTCATCAGTGCGTGTCGGAGATCGCCTGACAATGAGCCTCTGAACGGAGCGAGTGTGACAGCGCTGCAAATGAAGACGTTCTCTTTGACCAGAAGAAGAAGGATCAGTGTAAAGCTGTTAGGTCCACAGCTGACATTAAAATGTGTCCTGACTGTCTCTTATGATCACTTGTGGTCGGATCTCACTTCCTGCTCTATGTGCAAATGATCACGTGCATCATGTTTGATTAGATTTGAATGTGTGTCTCCTCAGCTCTTCACTGAGTATGGACGACTCGCTATGGAGGAAGTCTACGAGAAACCTTTCCAGGTATGAGCAGCAGGTCACTGTCCTCGGAGTATTCAGATGACACAGGGTAGAAAATTAAGTTAGATTAAAAAAAATAAAAAAATAGTGATTTTTGGAGTCTATCTTCTCCGTGGAAGTTTTAGAAGCAGGTTGAAGTCGTAGAATCCAGATCCTGAATCAGTAACCGGAACATGTTTCTTCTTTTTTCAGACTCTGATGTTCCTGATCAGAGACTGGAGTTACCCGTACGAACATCCGTACGGTTTGGACGGAGGAAGGAGCTTCCTGGAGAAACGGCTGCAGGCGAGTTTCTTCTCAATGTGAACATCACAGTTTAACGTGGACGGGTCCAGCGTCTGTGTGGCCACGAGCTTCTCATGTTCACTGAACACTGAGCGGCTTCAGCTTTTTAACTTCATGGTTGTGTTTACAAAAAAAAAACTTGACATGTGATGTCATTGTTGTCACTTCACTACTAATGAGAATCTGTTCATGGAGACGTCTCGGCTTAACGAAGCAGAGTGAAACTAACGAGAGCGTCCGTGTCCAGGTGAAGCAGAACCAACACGAGGAGCTGCAGAACGTTAGGAAACACATCCACTCCTGTTTCTCCAACATCGGCTGCTTTCTGCTGCCTCACCCCGGCCTCAAGGTCGCCACCAACCCTCAGTTCGACGGCCGGCTCAGAGGTACGATGCCAACCGTTACCGTGGTGAAACTGTGAAGCTAATAGATTTTGACAAATTAAGACCGAAGGCTCAGGAAAAAAAACTCACTGTTTGAAAACGGTTGTTTAACATGTGGTTTGTGTCTCAGACATCGATGAGGAGTTTAAGCGGGAGCTGGTAAATCTCGTTCCGACGCTGCTGTCGCCAGAGAACCTGGTGGAGAAAGAGATTGGAGGAGTGAAGATCACCTGCAGAGAACTGCTGCACTACTTCAAGGTGAGTCCTCGTCGGGCGCCGCTCCACCGTTCACCTGCTCAGTGACGGGATATTTAACAGAGAAGAGAATGAAGACAAATTTCAAGTTGATGATTTGTTTGATTTTGCTTCTGTATCAGAAAAACTCTCCGTCATGTGATGTAAACAGGAAGTAGACTGTCTCTGCAGTTGGTTGCTTAGCAACAGAAACTCCTCTGAAGGAGGAGCAGTGATGGTGAAAAGTCAGAGCAGAGATTTCTTTTCTCTGAGTGACGACGAGGTGGAACTGTTCCTGACAGGAAGTGTTAGCGACGCTTTGTGTTCACCGCTGGTAGTCGAGTCATGTGACTGATGAGAACCAATCAGAAGAGAACGTCTGATCACCGTTTACTAAAGTCTCAGTTTGTGTTCAGACTAAAACGAGACCAGTTTACACAAGTCTCTGATTGAGAGGCTGGAAAACTCACTCCGCGTAACCATAGCAACAGTGAGTTTTAAAACATGTTAGCGAGGACGGAGCTCTTCAT